GCCCATCCCTGGAGGTGGCACTGAGTGCTCAGGGTGGGGATGGGGCACAGCTGGGACTCGATGATCCCAGAAGGATTTTCCACCCTCAACAACTCCACAATTCTGAGAATTTCCACCCCTCCCAGGGCAGAGCTCAGATCCAAATCCACCTCCAGCTGGAAATCCACCAGGCTCAGCCCCATGAGCATGGCCGTGGGGATTTATCCCATTTTTTCCTGCAGGTGGAAGATGAACGGCACAGAGCTAAAGCTGGAGCCCGATTCCCGCTACAGGCTGGTGGCCGGGGATTTGGTGATCAGCAACCCCGTGAAAGCCAAGGATTCCGGCTCCTACCAGTGCGTGGCATCCAACTCCAGGGGCACCGTGGTGAGCAGGGAGGCCTCGCTCCGCTTTGGCTGTAAGTTTGGCACCGCCAGGTAAATTAAAACCAACCCCAGTTAGGCTGGGCTTAAACAGAGCCTGCCTGGGAAAAGGCTGGAAAGAATCTCTCCAACACATCATCCCATGGAGAAATCTCCTGGCACTTCCATAGAAATTTGGAGAATCCAGAGATTTATGGACAAAGCCAATGATATTTTTGGATCTCCCACGCGAGGAGGGGCAGAGAAAGCTCAGAGGTTCCTCCAGTTGTATTTTCCTGTCCGGGTTTCACTCTGCCTGTTCAGTTTTGCAGGAATTCTCGGCGGAAGAGCGGGACCCTGTGAAGATCACCGAGGGCTGGGGGGTGATGTTCACCTGCAGCCCCCCGCCCCACTACCCAGGTAAGGGGGACAGCAGAGCACAGGGTTCCCAGATTTTCTGGGAATTCCATGGAAGGAAATTTGGGGTTAATTCAGAGGTTGTAACGCAGCAGAGCAGAGGCAGGACACATTGGTGTGTCCATGCAAGGGCCAATTCCAGCCTGGAATCCCACTGGGTCTATCCCACCTGGGAGGTCACAACAACCAGAGCAGTCGATTCCCTTTTCCACCCTTGGAAAGACCAATTCCAGCTGGGAATCCCACTGAGTCCATCCCAACCAGGAGGACACAACAACCACCACAGTCAATTCTTTTTTCCTCCCATGGAAAGAACGATTCCAGCCTGGAATCCCGCTGGGTCCATCCCACCTGGGAGGACAAACCTGTCCAGTTCATTCCTTTCCTTTCCCCCCAGGTTTATCCTACCGGTGGCTCCTGAACGAGTTCCCCAATTTCATCCCGGCCGACGGGAGACGTTTCATCTCCCAGACCACGGGCAACCTCTACATTGCAAAGACGGAGGCCTCGGACCTGGGCAACTACTCCTGCTTTGCCACGAGCCACATGGACTTCATCACCAAGAGCGTCTTCAGCAAGTTCTCCCGCCTCAGCCTGGCCGCAGAGGGTCAGTGCTCTTGGGTTCTCCCAAAAATGCCAATTCTTATGGGAAAAATCTGAATTAACAAACCCCAGCAAAGCATTTGGGGACAGCGCCCAAGTCACCCTCCAACCTCTCTTAAGAGCTTCAAAAATATGGATGGGGCTGGGATGGGAGGGAAGCAGCTCTCTCTCCAAGATTCCCTGTTTCCACTCCATCTGTGGGGTTTCTCTATTTTTAAAGGATAATTCTGGTACAGGGAAAAGGGAATTAAAGAAGAGGAAGAACTGGATGGACATGGATTGGAGCAACCTGGGACAGTGGAAAGTGTCCCTGTCCATGGCATGGGTGGGACTGGATGGGCTTTAAGGACCTTCCAACCCAAACCATTCTAGGATCCTGGGAAATCCAGAATTCTCAGGAATTGTGGAGCCCTGAGATCTTATAAAAGAGATTTTTAGAGACTTCAGCAAGAATTGTCAGAAAAAGGAGATGGAACTTCTGTCCCCTCACCCAAACGGGTTGGGAGGTCACCTCATGGGTCTCTCTGCCCTGTGAGACCCCCCGGGTGGCATTTTGGTGTCACCCAGGTCCCCTGAGCAGTGTTTTCCTCGTGGCAGATGCCAGGCAGTTCCCACCCAGCATCAAGGCCAGGTTCCCTGCGGACACCTACGCTCTGACCGGGCAGGTGGTGACCCTGGAGTGCTTCGCCTTTGGGAAGTGAGTGCAGCTCCACGTGGATGGGGATCGGGATGGGATTGGGATGGGATGGGCAGAACTTCCACACCTCCAATGGAAGACCAGAGATGGAGGGAAATGGGAAAAGGGAGGAGCTGGCCAAAGCCAAGGCCCAGTGGGACAGGACCAGGGTGGCCTCGCAGGGACTGAGCTCAGCCTGGATTCACCAGCTCGGCTTTTCCGCAGCCCCGTGCCCCAGATCAAGTGGAGGAAGCTGGATGGGCCACAGTCCTCCAAGTGGATCGGCAGCGAGCCCCTGCTGCAGATCCAGCAGGCTGGATTTGAGGATGAGGGGACGTACGAGTGCGAGGCAGAAAACGCCAAAGGGAGGGACACCCACCAGGGCCGCATCATCATCCACGGTAA